GGTTAAAGGAAACATTTAGCGCGGCTTATTAAATATTTATTTGCGTTCTGTATCTCAGCCATAACTCATAATTGTTGACCACAGTAAGCCATTAAAAAGATTTATATTAAATCAATATAAAACGGAGCCTCATTCCGGAGTTTTACTGGGCTATTGCATCACTTTAATTTAGGTGAATAATGCCCTCTTATACAATAAATAATCTAAAAAGATTGATAATTGGGATTTTTGCCTCAAATAAATGTCCAAAATGAGAAAATTCTATCTGAAGTTACCTTGCAGTGAGCTTACTAAAAAGGTCGTTAGTTTGCCCTGAATATTCCGCATCATGAAGTAATTCGTCTTATAACTAGAGAGTTGATATTTGCTATATATGCTGCTGTTAAAAATGATATCAGTTAGAAGATCGTGCTCACTTCAGATAAAATGTTTCAACTTAACAATAAGAGATTTAAGTATACATTCATTACCAATAAATAATAAATGCTTAATAGATAAGTGCATAATCTAAATAACCACGAGTATTGAGGTTGTTTGACCTTGTTTTCGCAACTTGGTCATATTGGTAGGAAGACTTAGAGGAACACAGATAGTCCGTAGTCCATTGTATGCATGGTAATTCCCAGAGGAGGACCATGGACATGGTAAATTCACAGACTTTTCGCCGGCATTGTAGTAGGCCTCATCAGTGAGTCTCGCCATTCTTAGCATCACACAACAACTCGTCAAAGAGACAAGTGAAGCCGATACTTTGACCAAACGTGTGCTAAACAGTTGTGGTATCTCCCCTTCTGCCCTGGGCCATTCACATTTCATATATTCGCCTATCACGCCTTCACTGTTAGAATTTTTAGCGTGCTTATTTCGATGTAGTGTTGGTGCTCTTTTGAACGGCATTCATGAAAACCCTTCATACTCCACGCTGTCGCTCTTACTCCTTCATCCTTGTGCTGTGAATGTTGATCAGAGTCGGCCATATTGTTACGCAGACCTCTTTACATAGGTCTTTTTACAGTCTCTCTCTTGCCTCGTAACATCCGTCTGCTTCCTACCTGGTTCACGTATTTCC